GCGGATGCTACACTACGACTACCGCGACTACTCAAACTACTTCTACTACTGCTGCTACTACTGCTGCTACTACTACTACTACTACTACTGCTACTACTACTACTACTACTACTACTACTGCTACTACTATTCCTACTCATACTTGTACTCCGCCTATTCCTCCGACTCCTATTCCTCCTACTACTACTTGCTGCTTCTGCTGCTCCTTCTGCTCCTGCCACTACGACGACAGCTATTGCCAGAGCTACGACATGGACTACTAGTGCAGGTAAGGGGTATCAGCGTTTGCTACTGCGACTGTCATTTCTTCTGCTACAGCTACTACAGTACTGCTGCTGCTACTTGTATGTACTACACCTGCGACAAATAATATTGCTACTGCTGCTATGCAATCCTTCAAGTATTCTTCCGCGAATCAGGTGTCCCTTAAGGGTCGGCTTAAGGCCCCTTTAGCCAGAAGCCTTCAGTCACCATAGCAAGAAGCGCCCGCAGGCCCAGATTGAGTATGCGGCCATTGACGCCTGGGCCGCTCGGCAGGTGCCCGCCATGGCAGCGTACAGAAGTGGTTTCATTCTAATCCAAAACAGCAGCAACATGGCTTTTTTCCATTCCGAAGGTCAGCTTTTTGTCAATTTTCTGGTGTGGTTCTTTTTCCCCCCTCCCCCCCGGACGCTTAATTGCAGGGGTTTGGGCTTTCAATAAAGGGTTGTATGGGGATCGGCAGGGTGTTATACCAGGTGTTCAAGTCCACTGCATCCCATCTCTACACTCAGCTATCCACAATTATCTCTTACTTCAGAGACGTCCTTTCGGGTAGAAGGTTCCTTATGAATAGAGCTTTCCTGCTATTTGTAGCCGATCCTATCCCCTCGCCCTCCGACGTTCAGTTCCAAGATGTTCAGCCTCTGCCTGTGCTTATGGAGGCTACCCGGTGTACCGCGAATCGGTTCACTGAATCAGAGAACAGCTCAATGCCGAGAGAAACATGATACTTGCTGCTTTGCTCCGCCCGCCCGCGCTGTGCAGAGCTCTCAAGCAGCCACCGTAAGGTTTCAGAAGGTATTAGAAGAAGCTGACTTTTATAAGGCTTCTCGGTTCCATGTCGACCTGCCCAGAAACCAAAGGGTCGTCCGATTCACATTTCGGGTGTAAGAGTGCCTCACGTCGCAACCCGTAATCCGCGACCCTGACAAACCCCTCCCAAGTCCAAGCGACTGCGTATAACCAAGTGATCGCGAGCTCAAGCCTTGTACACCCCCCACGAGAATGACACTTATGCATGGTGGGCCCGCGGTGAGCCAATCTCAGCGTGAGCCAACAAGGCCCTCCACTGAGGGCAGCATTCAGCCATGTTTGAGCTTGCTAGCTTTCAAGGGCTTCGTGAACTTCACGGACTCGTGCGTGGAGCTTCAGGCTTCGTTGCAACTGCTATCGGTGTAGGCATATCAGCACTACCTACGCGCTTCCGCCACTCTTCCGCCCTGTCCGGAGCGAGGATTCAACTTGCCAGGATTTGCTGGGTAACGTTGGAGATGGGATTGCACACTGTCGTAATCACACATTGGTACACCAGCTGGAGTGGTTTCCGAAGACACACACACACACACTTTCAGGCGGCAACTTTGCAGTTTCAGGGCCTCTCGCTTTCGAAGCCTTCGCACTTGGTGTCTTCTTCGTGTTTCCTTGGCATGTCGCGGCATGTCCTCTTCGTCGACTTCGGCCCAAGCCTGCACACCAGCCACGCAGTACATGAAGCGAAATACAGGAGCCCTCAACACGGCCCGCGGTGAGGGCCGATAGCAGGCAACATCGACTCAAAGCCCTACCTGTAGGATTTTCTGAAATGCAGAGTGCTGACTTCGAGGAATTTTTGGTTCCCAGATTCATCCAGCGATGGACTCGGATATCGAGGCCCCGCCAAGCCCAGATCCGACGCCGCCCAGTCCGAGATCGGGCGTGCCTGTTTTCAGGCGACGGCACTCCCATGCGCAGTTGCTTTGGCTGCAATGGTTTAGGGTGTACATAGCTTTGGCTGTTGATTCGAGGGATTGGGTTCTAGTCGCCTCATGTTTTGCTTGCATTTCCAGTGCACAGATTTGCAGAGAAACAGTAGTCTGGAAGTTGAGCGGTGAATAGTCAGGATTGGTTTCAGCGTTTACTGAACTTGCTAGCAGCCTTCCTGTGGCTTTGGCCACGGACGTCTTCAGAGAAGTGGGCAGCGCTATTTGCCTCTTGAGTCGCATGTTCATGGGAGCCATCTGCGAGCAACATCCAACAGCCCAGGTTAACCCGCCGCAACAGCTGCGCATCGATACAATCAACCGGAGAGGGCTCCACGAACTTCGTGGAGGTTCTGGCGCAGATTCAGGCCTCTGGAGAGTGCCGCAATTCTCTGACGTCCGTAAATCCTCCCAGTTTGTGGTGATCCTGCCTCGGCCTTCTTGCCGTGCCATGGTGTTTCACACTATCCTATAGTCGAGTGGTTCGTGGTAAGCTGTCATAGATATGTCATATTGCAGCAGGTTGTGTGCATCGCGCGCAGCTTGTTCTATTGCATGGAACAGACGGATTATCAACGGCAGCGGGAAGAAGTTAAATTTCTTTGACAACACTGGTTGCAAGCAAAATTTGGTTGACAGTTTACAGGTGCTGAGCTGATACGTGCTACCCGCTGTAGAAATTTGCAACGGCCGACAGGGACCGTGGTAGACGAAGCAAGTGCAGCGATGATGCTCAGGGTAACTTGTGTAGAGCGTAGAACAATAAGGCGTCGATGAACGATGAAAAGGCCACTTCGAAGACATGGTCTTGGTGGCCCCATACAGGTTTTGGTTCGGGTGACAAGACGAGTAGGAAAGGGTTGCGGCTTTAGGCATACGTGAGGAGTCTAGGATTTGATCCAAAAAAAGACAAGCCATGGAAGCGTGGCAGCCCTAGGCAGGTCACCAGACTCAACCGGGCCAAATCAAGTTAAGCTGCAGGAAAACCTGAAAGCCCTTCGTCCCCAAAACTGCCCGTAGCTCATTGCTGACTTGCGGTATTTGCGTCATCATCTCGCTTGGGTTGTCTTTGCCGTCGAGGCCTTGCAGGAGAAGCTGCTCCATATTTATGAAGCAGATGTGGAAGGGATGACCACACAGTCACAGTGCTTCAGCTCGTACTGGTGCTTGAGGGTTTGGGATCTGACCGCTGTTGATACGATGCGGACACCGCAATAACAGAAAACAGCTCCATCCTTTTCTGGTATTGGAACCGATTGAGGTGGCTAGTCTGCTACAAGCTGTGCCGGGATGGAATGCAGCAACATCTCGGTTGCTGTCTTGAGTCTCAATTGCTGAATTCAGCCCAAGATCTTGTTTCATTTGTTGGTGAATCGTCGCGAGCTGCACATGCCTGTTGCAGTTTTGATGCCTTGTGCCGGCCAGCCAAGCAGAGCATCACGATTCAGACAACACGGTATATCCTCAAGAAGGAACTCCCCGCCCTCCCCGCCCCTCAACACGAGATCCTGTATGCCCGACATCCGCCTCTTCACTTCCGTCCATCCTCCAAGTACTTCGAGCCTCATCCCCAAACTCCAACCTCTGAGATCCTTTGAGATGGAGGGCTGACACGAGCGTTCTTACTCGGTACTCTGCATTTCCACAGGATTGCCACTCTTCTTGGCTTGCCGAACAAGACTTGCAGAACGTGAACTCCTTAAGGCCAAAGCAGAAAAACCGAGAAGCAGTTGCATCGCAGCTGGGTCACGTTGTAATTGCTTTTAGTGAGCTGTTAAGCATCCTCCGGCAACCGGTGCACTGACATCCTTCTCTGATGGCCACTCAACCTGCTGAGGTCAAAGAAAGTGCTGAGACCGATGAAGAGCTTTTCGAAGCAGCTGAGTGTGATGGATGCCACCAAGAGCCTTGTCCGTCGTGTCTCTTTGCTCCTTTAACTTTCGATATACGAAAGCACATGCAAGACGCCAATCTGAGACTAGTAGAGACGTAGAGCTTCTTACAGAGTGTCGGCGGTTGCAGCATTAGCAACAAAGGAGTGCCACGCTGCTTAACGAGTACCATGACTCCTTGGCGAGGGCCGCTTTGACTTTTCAGGGAACCTTGGAAGTTCTCCGTTTTGTGGGGTTGTTGAGATGGAACGTGCTCACAGGCCGCATCGCCGCAAGATGACATGCCGGAGACTTTGCCTGCTGGTCCAAAAGCCGGATCAGCGTCAAGCTTGGCGAAGTCAGCGCACGATGTAACTGCCGCCAGCATGGAAGAGACCCTTCGGCTTGGAGAACAAGCCTTTCAAGTGGGTGTTGAGCGGCTTGGCCGGTGCTTCAACCCTGATGATTACGACGGTCGTCATAAACAATGACGGGGGCTCTGTTGTTTGTTGCTGGAGCTGTTGTTGGCGGCGTGGTGGGTCTGAGCCTCTCGTGGGTGCGCTAACAGAGATTGACAGACGGGTGACAGACTACTCGCAACCTAGTTTCAGTCAGTGATACATCTGGCAACTTTCACGCTCCCCCGCAAGACCTGCAAACGAATGCGGGTGGGCAAATTGCCGGGGGGCCAGACCCGCTACTTTGCCTCGGAGAAGAGAGAAAGAGAGAGAGAGAGAGAGAGAGAGAGAGAGACGGGGCACTCACCCTAGGTCTGCAAGGTTGCGTTCTTTTGCTACACTTCACGATGCGTTACCTTGTTGCTGGACTCAGACCCAGGGGGCACCAGCTCAAAAGGGCACACAACTCCTTCGTACAGCAGAGCCCATCCATCGAAAATGATGGATGGGGCAGCGCACCTGCGCGGGACGGGAGGGCTGCTCCCGCCCCATGCCCTAAGCAAAGCAAAGCAAAGCAAAGAGAGAGACCGGTTGCTCGGGAGAGAGAGAGAGAGAGACCGACCGGTGCGTGCATGCATGGAGGGGGTCTCTCCTCTTGGCTGTGTGGAAGAAGAAGAGAGCCAGAGCGAGAGGGGGTTTGGCCGAAAACCCACGTCGAAAACCAAGTCCTCTGCAGTTTCGGCCAAGATGTCATTTCAGGCTTTCACGCCCTCCCAAAAGTCCGCGAATATCAGGTTGGCTTAATGCCCGTGGGGCTTGGGGATGAGAGGCAAACATTCTCGATCGTATACAGCTTCGCTCACGAGCTAATGCTTTCCGTGTGGGGTTTAGCTATCACTGCACTCAGACAAGGAAGGAAGGAAGGCAGGAAGGAAGGCAGGAAGGACTGAAGGAACGAAGGAAGGAAGAGAGGGAGAGCAAGACACAGGCAGAAGAAGGGTTGGAGAGAGTCAGAGACAAGGTGGGCCATGGAGGAGAGCGAACTGGCCGATCTGCAGCGGAGCAACGCCTTCATCGCGCCCTTTGGATACAGATGGGTTCGGCAGTTCTTCGTCTGGACTCCTACGGGATCTGCCAGTATAACTAACAAGGTGTTGAGGAGTGAAGTCGCTTGCAAAGCTTGTCATTTGGAGAAGGCTTGACAGCGAGCCCCCGCGCCTTCAGGTTCGTAGCTGTAGACGAAGGCAAAGGCCCCCAAATGGTAATGTCTGTCAAGCCACTACTGCTGCTACTGCTACTGCTACTACCACAACTACTACTACAACTACTACTACTACTACTACTACTACTACTACTACTGCTACTGCTACTACTACTACGACGATGACGATGACGATGACGACTACTACTACTAGTCCTACTTCGTACTGCTACTAGGAAGGGGCTTCGCGTGTGGGTTCCTGAGCCCTCAGCCTGTCAGCTCCAGGCCGCGGCAGACGACGACGACGTCGGGCGCAGCTCGGAAGCTTCGCACAGCCACCGAGCGACCTGCACAGGGCTGTGCCATCAGCCCTGAGTCGCCCAAGAGGAGCTAAGGGCTGCAAGGCTTCAGTGACCTTAGTGGCTCTAGTGACTCTAGTGGTTCTTGGATTCAGATTCTGAACTCCAAATTCAACATTTATGGGCTAACTATATTCCGTAATGTCAGCAGCGGCTTGCGCTACAATAATCAACATCATGCACAGGATGCTTTGGGACATCCTGTCTATGGTGGCCTTGCTGGTGGAGGTGGCTAGGTTATCAAGCTGTCTTGTGTCATGTCACAAGTTTCTTGATGCTACCTTCCAGGAAGGGACGGAATAACTGCGACATGGACTTCGGTCCAGGTGTTGGTAACCAAGCAGATATCGTTTTCAGCAAATCTGAGGTCTTGACAGCTCCACTCCAAGTCTATGATATTTCTGGGGAAGTCCGGCAGGTTGGGGACGTCTTACACTGGTCAACCACCAGCTATTGGGTTCTGGACGTGCCGGCATCATTCCTTACAGCAGTCTATATCAATGACATCCTGCACACCAAGCTTGCCGATGTGGCGCGTGTGTACTTGAGGTCTTGGTTTCTCTTCGACATGCTTATGTTGGCGCCGGAGGCGGTCTTCTTCGCCAGCGTGCTCGCGCAGCAGCCGGGAGAAGAATCCGAGGACCCAGCAGCATCCGGCCTGCTGCGGGCCTTGCGCGCACGGCGCCTGGTGCGCGTCGTTCGTTTCGTTCGGATTCTCCGATTCCAGAAAGCCATGGTTGTCCTAAAGAAGTTGAGCTGCTACAGGCATTTCAGGCTGTTCTTCCAAGGCCGGATTTCGTCTTCTTTGCTGCCGGTCCTTTGCTTGATGTTCGGCCTTGCAGCTGCAGTGCACTTCCTGGCAAGTTTGTGGTTTGTGGCAGGGACCGTCGAACACGGTTGGGCTTTTGATGAAGGTCTGCATGAGGCTCCTTTCGCCCTACAGTATATACGAAGTGTGGAGTGGGCGGTGTCTCGGTTGCCGGCATCTTCTTTGAGAGCCAACGTCGAGCTCCACACCGCCTTCGAGCGCTGGTTGGCCATCCTGGCCACGTTTGCTTCTTTGATCATTTCCTCAATGTTTGTCAGTATCTTGACCAACCTAATGGCGGACGTTGCTCGTCGAACACGAAAGATGGCACAGATCCTGGAGTCTGTCAGAAAGTACTGCGGAACATGTGGGGTGTCCTATGCTCACACCATGAAGGTGAGAAGGCTGGTGGAACGGGAGCATTGCCGGGCCAGCATCCAGGATCATATGCAATTCTTGCTGACGCTTCCCGAGGCTCTCGTCAAAGAGTTGTTCCACGAGGCCCGCTCCATCACACTGGCTTGCCATCCCTTCTTCATGGAAATCGGGGCTATGAACCCCACTATGGAGTTGCAACTGTGCAACAAAGCCGCGAAAGAGCTCTACCTCCTGGAGCATGATGAAATGTTCCGTGGCAATGAGAAAGGTGAAGGTATATATATCCTGGCATCCGGCGCAGCTCAGTACGCTCAAGGAGCTGAGTTCTACCTGCCACTCACAGGTGACAGAGACAAGGCTCGGCAGTCGGCATCACCGAATATTGCCCTGCGCTTCTTCAACGTCGTCGCCGGCACGAGCGATCGACTCGGTGAAAAGAATGAAGGCCAGGGCCAGGGGAGCCGCTTCCGTTTGCAAGTCGGGTCCCCGCATCATGACCTCATAGCCCTGGCAGGTCGACGGCGGAGTGAGAGCAAACCTTCCAAACCTCCAGTTGATGTTTCCGCTGACGACTACCTCAGCGAGCAGGCGTTGTGGATCCGGGGCTGGCCGCCGGGCGTGGATAGCAGTCTTTTGGGGCAGCTACGGGCTTGGCGGTTAATAGCTCAGACCGGCACTGTCGGGAGCTTGTCTCTCCCAAAGAAGCGCCTGCGCCTGTTCTCTCTCAAGCATTTGCCTAGGAATGCACTTGGGCTCTAGGGCTTCATTCCTTGGTCCCAATGAAGCGCCCAGACCTCGAACGCCTCGAACCCGGAATGCAAAGCACTGGACCAGGAAGCATCAGGGAAGGCTGGCGGCCATAGTTGAGAGCAGAGCTCTTCACTTGGCTACGGTGGAGGTCCGCTCGGTGCTGAACGACTATTCGGACGTTCTGGCGTGCTGGCACAAACCAGACTATTTACTATAATAAGAATAATCATTGTTATTATGACGATTACTGTTCTTATTCATCATTATTGTTCCTGTTATTGTTATTGTTCTTATTCTTATTCTTATTCTTATTCTTGTTCTTGTTCTTACTCTTGTTCTTGTTCTTATTATTGTTCGTATTATTCTTCTTCATATTATTACTATTACTCTTGCTATTATTATTATTATTATTACTATTATCACTATTGGGGTGTAACCTGGGTTCGGGCCCCCAGCCGGCCACCAAACACCAAACCTTTCTGAGGCCGTGGCCGTGGTCTACGCCCGCTCCTATGTGGAGACGATGTCTTTTGGCCCCAGCATGAAACCTTTTTTGCGTGTGACTTGGGTCTTGGGCTGGGATTCAGGTCGGCATTTCTCATAGGTTCAGCACCTGTTTGTCCATCCTACAGGAATCGAGTTTTCAGGGCCACAGAACCCCGATACGTCTTCAAACTGAAAACAGTCTTGAACCTGTTCCTTGCGATGAACCCTTGTGGCCGCCGTGGGCGAGGAATCGACTGTCGGCAGAGGAAGTATCCGATTTGCCCCTTGATCCCAGTCAGTTCGAGATGGATCCGGCGCGCCTTGAACGGCACAGTTCCGCGGATTTCGGGGGTGTGCGTCCAATCCTTCAGGTTTCAGGTGGACCTACTGAATCTATTTGAGGCCTCGTGCTGGGAATATTAAATAAAGAACTACCAGGACTAGGACTATCAGATCCGGCCATTCATGACCTGAACCAGTGCGAGTGGAGGCTCCATATTTAGAGGACTCGGGCTTCGTCGGGACGGACCCGGTTTTCCTGACCGTTTGGTTTCGGAGCAGGGTTTCATTTCAGTTAGTAAGCTCTCACCTTCTATCCTCCAACCCAGCTCTGCAGAGGCTGTGTGGTTGCGTGTGTCTCCATGACCTGTTCGAAGCAGTTCCGAAGCACAGGTGGTCTGTCAAAGTCGCTTCCGAGATGAGACGCGACAACCGGCTGGACAGAGTTGAGCCTGAACCGCTGGACTAGTGACGAGACTCTGAGAGTCGTTGCGCGTCCTGTGACTTGTGCTTACGGCGAGGTGGAAGATGAACTGGCATGAGCCGCAGTGAACCCAAATCGGCCAATCTGCCCTTGAAAGGGTGCTTAAACTTCGGTTTTGTCTGAGCACATGATACCACCTTGAACGAGGCATCTTTCGGACTTGCCGCCCCTTTTAACACCATTCATGCGCTCTCCGAAGGAGAACGGATTCTCCTGTGCTATCCCGTGCTTCTCTTCCTGCACGTGTCAGGGTCTCGAAGGATCAGATCCTCCGAATGAAGCAATGGATTGGCGCTCGGGTCGTGGACGTCGAGGGTTTGCTAACTCCGTTGGGGGCTGATATCTGCCGATGACAGGTTTCCAGCAACTCTGCATGGCTACCACCCTATCCCAGAAGCCAGAGACCCGAGAACGCTGCTCTGTGATTCTATGAGCCGGGGCGGCTCGTGTGTTTTATTGCCAGGGATTCGTGCGTTGGTGCAGTGAAAGAGTCCAAGCTCCATCGAGGTCTTAAGGAGACTGACCGGGCATCGACATAGAGGTCGTACCGTTGCACTTGGGACCGAACACGATCAATTGCGCGTAACCGTCAAGGCATAACCACCTCCAGTCACTGCTCTCCAGCTTTGTCTTCGATTGTAGATGGTGCAGCTACCAAGAGGCCCCCACGGGCCGTCAAGACACCGACTACTTCGCGTTTTAGTTGGCGTCAAGTTCAGAGGCTAGCTGCCTGCTCTCATGTACAGCTAGCTGAAGAAGCATGAACTGGTTGCGTGTTAGACAACTGGACAGTGCTGACGTCGCTCTTGCGCTCAGTCTTTGGCTGCTTTCAGCTATAGCTGAAGAGGTGTCCCGAGAGCGACAGAAGGCTTGATCCCTGTCAGAAACAAGACTTTAGAACAGCCCGAACTTCGGAAGCGAAAGCGCCCCTCCTCGGCGCCATGGAGATCATCGAGGCGCCGGCCCACGATCCGGATCCGCCCTCCCCTGGCACAAGTCCACCTTCGATGCGACGAGCGGAGTCCCAGCGCCTTGGGCCTTGGTCTGTTAGGGTCAGCTTCTTCGCGAAGGGACATGGCCTCCAAACCCGAAGCCTTTCCTCGGACCCAAAGACCTGGCCTAAAGGCCGTCTCGGATCTTCAGGTTGCGAGGCCGCCTGAGCTTTAGCTTGCAGCCCGTCCCGGGCCCAAGCTTCGTCGAGATCCTGAACCAGATTCAGGCCCATGGAAAACCAGCAAAGGTGCTAGCACAATCCAGCTATTTATCAGTAGTTATGTTGGCACAGTGCAGTACCAACATCAGTCGTGCTACGTCAATGACATAAGTTGAAATCATGACACCAGCTGTTCATCGTTTTGTCATGGCGGCACGATGAGTATCTTCGGTGGTGGCGGTCATCGCGACAACCATAGCCACGCCACTGTTAGCTTTCTGGCGTTTATGCTGTACAGTGTGTCATTGTATGTTGTTCTATGCTTATGGTATGCTATGCTTCTTCGGCACCGCACTTCATGTCATCTTGCGGCATGTTTTCTCGGAGCGTAGTATCGTCTGGGGTGCATCATGGCGTTTTATACATGTGTTCTGTCTCCCCGTGCACGTGTGTTGCCACATCATCTGATATACCTAACAAACCTGTATTGGTATGTGCATGTCCGCATATGTTTTCAAAGACAAAGTCTGAATGTCTGTCTGCCTGCTTGGGTGTGTACACTGTGTACCTCTGTCTACATATGAGATGGGGTCAAAACTATCGTATATTGCCTTTAAAGCAGGCGGTTGTCGAAGATGGCAAATGCTAGCGGTGACCTGTAAAACGATAGGGGACGCCCTAAAGACGATACCCTCAATACAGCAATGTTGCCATTGTAACCCTTGGCTCCGGGTTTCTTTCAAGGGAGGGTGTTGGGAGTTTAGGTTTTAGTAAGGGTGTCGAGGTTGTCGGGATGGAAATGAGACGACGTCTCTAAATTGGAAGAAACGATACCCGAACGATACCCAAAATGTAGAGATGGGCCCGTGGCCGTGCATGTACTGTGCCAGTTCTTTTCCTTGCACCAGAAGCGCACGCCGGCTCATATATATATATATATATACACACACATATTTCATACATATGTATATATACATACATATATATATATATATATATACACACACATGTACATGCATACGCGCACACACACAAATATGCATGTACATACGTATGTAGGAGTTATGTGCTTGCAGCTGTGTGCGAGCGTGTCGCTGTCACTCGTTTTCTCTCTCTCGCTCTCTCTGCGTGCATGAGTCTCTTTGCTTCTTCTAGTTATAGATGTATGTATATGATCTTTTCATGTATATTTGGTTGGAGGAGTCTGCAGAAACGTTTGAACCACTGAGCTGTACGGCGCAAGTGGTGGAGTATCCATGCCTTTCTCTCGCTGTCGAGGCTTTGCACGAGAAGCTGCTGCAAGCCTACGAATCAGATGTGGACGAGTGCCTCGGCTGGGTGTTTGGAGCTATGGGCTTTGAGTCGCAAGGGTTGGGTTCCCGCACCGAAAGCATTTCTGCAAACCCACTTGTGCTCGGCGAAGACATGACATGCTGTGAGACAGAACTTCGACTGCAACCCAAACTCTAGCCGCCAGCCGTTCCAAGTTGGACTTGACTTCGGAAAGCCGGGAACGGATCCCCAAATGGCATAGACTTGCCTTGCGGTTTGAGCGGCTGCGTTTAGCAGCCTCTGCTTCGGACTCCCGCTTCTTGCAGCTTTATGCCGAAAGCATCCGCGAAATCGATCCAGCTTGTGCATCTAGACGACCTAACTTCCGGTGTCCGGGATCTCACAGTTGCTTGAAATTTCGTGGCAACACCTTCGACCCAGAAGTTAAGCGCCTTGAGTTCTGCACATGCCAGGTCAAAGAGACTGAAGCCGAAAAGCTACCCGAAGCTTGGAAATCTGAAAAGGTCTCCTTGCCATTCCACAGAAGACTTTTTGAGATTTCGGGTAGTGTTTTCAATACGTTTCAATGAAGATTGCATTGTTCGAGTGATCAGCACCAGATGAAGGACGGCCTCAGCAGGCGTTTCCGTGGTCTCCAGCGATGCCGAATTGCCGGTGAGCCATCAGGCTTCACGAGCCTCCCGTGCCTCGCGTGGGTCAAGACAGCTGACGGTTTCCTTGGCAAAGGAGGCAAAAGACATGACTGAAGCTCACATGGACGAAGTGCTGCGCCATGGTGATGCTGCCTTCCAAGTGGCCGATGAGTGTCTCGGTACAGCGTGGAGTTAGTCTGCTGTAGGCTGCAGTGACATATTGCAAGATGTGTGACTGCTGCTGCTCTTCAGCGGTGGAGCTCTGAGTAGGAAAGCGGCCAAGTCATCCGTGTCAGTGCAAGGTGATAAGCATGGGGCATGCAATCATGTAGAAAGGCTGTATCGTTTCATGTTGGCTTCGGCCTTGCGTAGGCAGCGGCTGGGAAACGGAAACTGGAGCTTGGGTTGGCTCTGGGTGCCATCGTGTGGCTGCTATGATTATCAGCGATATCATTTTCTGCGTGCCATGTCGTCTTGCTGAGGTGGGCCTTGGATGACGATGCTCTTGCGGACCTTGAGATGACTTCTGCCATCACCTCGCTCCTTGCATTGACTTAACTCTTCAGTTTGCAAGCAAACATCCGGGCACTTTCTCCAAACTGAGGCCGAAGCATCCGGTTTTGAAGACGTCCGGCACAGGCCGAAAGTATCGTCGCGTCTCCGGGTTAACCAACACTGGCTGCGCTATCCATCCTGAATCGCCCCAGAGGACTTGCAGTTGAATGTGTTGACTATGAGCAGGGTTCTGACTACGACCTGGCCTTTGCATCTAGTGAATCTAGTGTGGAGGAGCTCATGCCTGCCAACACTGGTGAAGCTAAGTGTGCAAACAATAAATAATCTCCAGCCGCCTCAGCCTCCGACAAAATCCGCACAGTGACAGAGGATGTTCTGGGACGTCTTGGGCATGCTGGTCTTGCTCGTGGAGGTGGGCTTTTGTGGTTTATATGTGTCCAGATTCAGCCTCCAACAAGCCTTGCCACCGACAACCTGAGGTCTTGACCGTTCCTCTGCAGGTCTACGATATAGCCGGGGACGCCAGAAATGTGGCAGACATTTTGCACTGGGGAACCACGCTATACTGGGTTTTGGATTTGCCAGCATCATTTCTGACGGCCGTCTACATCAACGACGTTCTGCACACCAGTTTCGCAGACGTCGCACGGGCATATTTGAAATCCTGGTTTGTCTTCGACGCTCTGATGTTGGCGCCAGAAGTCGTGGTTTTCGTCAACGCATTCTCACCGATGGAGGGAGTTGAGATGGACGATGCGGCCGCATCCGGTTTGTTACGTGCCTTACGAGCCAGGCGCTTGATGAAGGTCGTTCGTTTTGTTCGGATTCTGAGATTTCGGAAGGCAATGCTTGTGCTGAAGAAGATGAGCTTTTACAAGCAGTTTAGAATGTTTTTCAGTGGTCGGATTTCGTCTTCTTTGCTGCCGGTCCTCTGCCTGATGTGTGGCCTCGCAATTTCAGTCCATTTCCTGGCAGCCCTGTGGTTTATTGCAGGGACTGCGGAACGTGGATGGGCATTTAACGAAGGCCTGCATGAGGCTCCCTTTGCCCTTCAATATACACGAAGTGTGGAGTGGGCTGTGTCGCGATTGCCAGCGTCAGCCTTGCGAGCTAACGTCGAGCTCCACACTGCTTTCGAGCGCTGGGTGGCCATCATGGCCACTTTCGCTTCATTGGTCATCTCCTCGTTGTTTATCAGTGTGATTACCAACCTGATGGCAGATGTTGCTCGTCGAACACGCAAGATGGCACATATCCTTGACTCCGTGAGAAAATACTGTGGAGCATGTGGGGTGTCCTACGGCCACACCATGAAGGTGAGAAGGCTGGTGGAACGAGAGCATTGCCGAGCAAGCATCCAGGAGCATATGGAATTCTTGTTGACACTGCCTGAGACTGTCGTCAAGGAGCTTTTCCATGAGGCCCGCTCGATTACACTCGCTTGCCATCCCTTCTTCCTGGAACTATGTGCTGAAAACAACTTGATGGAATTGCAGCTGTGCAACAGGGCGGCGAAAGAGCTCTATCTCCTTGAGCATGATGAGATTTTCCGCGGGAACGAGAGAGGCGAAGGAGTTTATATCCTGGCGTCAGGCGGAGCTCAGTACATTCAAGGAACCGAGTTCTACCAGCCACTGCATACGGCAGCTGCAAAGGGAACCGCCTCGAGCGTGATCAGAATGTTCTCCATCCTTCCTGGCCTGGATGGAGGCGAAAAGAAAGAAGAAGGACAGGGTTGCGCTTGACAATGCCCGTGATCAAAATGACGGTGCTAATGATCCTTTGTTTTTTCTTTAGACCTTATGGAAGCAGTTTTCGGAAGACAGCTCCTGCCTTCGCACGCCTTTGGGCGACAGTTGTAACACACTTGGAGCATAGACGGCATGGTGGTGGTGGTGGCCGCAGAATTTGTAGCAACAGGAGCAGGAGCAGTAGTAGGAGCAGTAGTAGTAGCAGTACAGTAGTAGTCGTCGTCGTCTCGTCGCCGTCGGTAACAGCAGTAGTGTGGCAGGGGTAGTGTTACTGGTACTGGTACTGGTACTGGTAGTGTGGGCAGTAGCGGTAGCGGTAGTAGCAGAAGTAGTGGTAATTAGTAGTAGTAGTAGTAGTAGTAGTAGCAGCAGTAGCAGTAGTAGTAGAAGAAGAAGTAGTAATAGTAGTAGTAGTAGTAGTAGTAGTAGTAGTAGTAGTACTAGGAGTAGGGGTAGCAGTAGGAGTAGGAGTAGCAGTAGCAGTGGCAGTAGTGGTACTCGCAGTACTAGCAGCTACATTTATA